GTACGTACAGCGCGTGCCGCCACCTCTGAAAGTCGGATTTTTTGGATTTAAAAAGAAATAAGTGGATTTATTTATTGCTTTTGTTTGTTGTTTGCCTTTTTAATGCATTTAAACCCTTTTTTGACTCCAAATTCCTCCAAAATCCCCCTTTTCTCCGCAGCCACTGCACTCGCCGTGGAGTACCGCCGCAGCGCACTGAAAGAAGCCGCGAAGGAAAATCAGCTGCAGAGCCGCCTGATGACTCTGGAGGTAATTTTAAACTCCACCAGCAGCAGCAGCAGCAGCAGCAGCAGCAGCAGCAGCAGCGGCAGCAGCAGCAGAAAAGGACGCGGTGGAATAGCACAGCGAGGCGTAGCGGGTTGCCAGCTTTTGCTGCTGCTGCTGCTGCAGTGTTTGCTGCTGTAGTTCGAATTTGAAACCCCAGAAAATGAAACGAAGCAAATAGCATCAAATTAAATCGAAGGAATTAAATTAAACCAAATGAATTAAATTCGAATCAAATTAAATCAATTATATCAATTAAATTAATTAAATTAATTAAATTAATTAAATTAATTAAATTGAATTCGAAGTTTGGTTTGCTGCTAGGCCCAAGTGCTGCAGCTGCAGCAAGAAAACGACAGAATGCTGAAAAGCATTTTTCCCGACGACAAATATGTGCGATCAGCAATTGACATTAATTACCAAGAAGAGGGTAAATAAATAAATAAATAAATAAATAAATAAATAAATAAATAAACAAATAAATAAATGATTAAATTGATTAAGTTAAATAATAAATAGTTAAATTAATTATATTTATTTGTTGGATTTAAAATTCCGCTTTTGAACTGCTGCGCAGGATGGTTCAGCTGGCTGGCAAAGCGGTTTTCTGCTGCTGCTGCTGCAGCAGAAACTGAGGAAGAAAGTAAACAATGAGTGTGCTGCTGCTGCTGCTGCTGCTGCGGCAGCAGCAGCACTTGCCCTCTGCTGCTGCTGCAGCAGCAGAAACCAAGTAAAAGAATAAACGCCAAGTGTGCTGCTGCTGCAGCAGCAGCAGCAAAATACTGCTTCAGTTGGACTCTGCTGCTGCTGCTGCTGCTGCTGCAGCAGCAGCAGAACGAGAACACTAAATGCTTTTTGGAGTGAAAAGAACGCAAAGACCTGCAGTGTACGTACACTGGAAACGGCGGAATTCATTTTACGTGTCTTTTTGTCTTTCAAAAAAAGAAAGAATCAAAAACCCCCTTGAGCTGCTGCAGCGAGGGTTTAGGGTTTAGCGTTTAGCAGTGCACAATCTAAGTGCAGAAAACCCCGCGAAGAAGGCCATCAAGGCCCAGGCCTCTGCTGCAGCACCGCCCCCCACCCCCAAGGGTTTAGGGTTTAGGGTTTAGGGTTTGGCCGTGCATGAGTTAGTGCAGACAACCCCCTCGAAGCTGCCATAAAGGCTCGCGCCTGGCTGCTGAGTGTTTAGGGTTTAGGGTTTAGGGTTTGGGGTTTAGCCGTGCACGAGTTCCACGCAGAAAACCCCCACGAAGAAGACCACACCGGCGCGAGCCCTTCCCGCCCCCCAGGGTTTAGGGTTTAGGGTTTAGGGTTTAGGGTTTAGCCGTGCATGCGGTAGGTGGCGAAAAGCCCCGCGGAGAAGGCCACGGAAGCCGACGCCTCTGCTGCCGGCGCGCCGCAGGGTTTAGGGTTTAGGGTTTAGGGTTTAGGCGTGCATGAGTTACATGCAGAACCCCCCCACAAAGAAGGCCACGGAAGCGCACGCCCCTGCTGCCGGCGCGCCGCAGGGTTTAGGGTTTAGGGTTTAGGGTTTGGGGCTCAGCCGTGCATGAGGTAGGTGGCGAAAACGCCCGCGGAGAAGGCGAAGGCGAAGGCCGCGGCGCAGGCGCGCGGCGTGTTGAGCTGCGCCTTAACCCACAAATGGGAGCCGACGGAAAAAGGAGGAGCTTCGGAGAACTTGGAGGCGGAGAGGAGTTTGCAGCCGCTGAGTTTGGGGATGTACATGAGGGGCTTGCAGCCTGCGGAAAGCAGGGAAAGCGGCCCGATCCGCGGCTTTCGGGCGCGCTTTTCCGGGAAACTGGTTGCTTTTTGCAAATTGTTGCTGCTTCTGCATTCTTTTGCTGCGTTTCCCGCGGGAATGCCGCGCTTTCCGCGCAACGCGAAAGCTGCACGCCGCCCCCGGGTGTACGTACACCGCGCGCGCGCCGCGGAACCCGGAAAGCTGCGCTTTCCGGCCCCAATTCGCCGCGCTCCGCGGCGCTTTTCCAACGCAATCAACGGGACTTCAAATTAAATTGCACAACAAAGAAATTAATTCCAAAAACGGACGCAAACTCACCGTTCGCCGCCTGGTTCTTCAGGTCGCACCACGGCTGCGTCTTGCACTTCCCGCAGCTGCACCACCAGTACACCTGAACGCACCCACGTCCAGTCCCCGCTTTCCCTCCAGTCGATTCAATCTTTACTTCAATTAGTTCAATTAGTTCAATTAGTTCTTTTAGTTCAATTAGTTCAATTAGTTCAATTAGTTCAATTAGTTCTTTTAGTTCAATTAGTTCAATTAGTTCAATTAATTCAATTAGTTCTTTTAGTTCAATTAATTCAATTAGTTCAATTAATTCAATTAGTTCTTTTAGTTCAATTAATTCAATTAGTTCAATTAGTTTAATTAGTTCTTTTAGTTCTTTTAGTTCTTTGTTCAATTAATTCAATTAGGTCTTTTGTTTCAATTTATTCCATTCGCTTCGTTCAAATTGATGCACTTCAAATCTCTGCTCCGCACGTTCCACGCTGCAGCAGCAGCGCAGCAGCAGCGCAGCAACAGGCTGCGAACTCAGCCCGCAGCTGCTGCTGCAGTGCGTGCTGCTGCTGCTGCAGTGCGTGCAGCCGCTGCTGCAGCAGGCAGCAGACAGAAGCGGCTGCTGCAGGTGACCTGCAAAGGCGCTGCTGCTGCAGTGCCTGCAGCTGCTGCAGCAGCAGACAGCGCGCAGAGCTGCTGCTGCAGGCAGCACACGCACTTCCTGCTGCAGTGTGCGCCGCTGCTGCTGGCAGCAGCACGCACCGCTGCTGCCGCAGGCAGCGCGCCCAGCCGCTGCTGCTGCTGCAGACTTGCTGCAGCAGCAGCAGCAGCAGCAGCAAGAGTCTCACCTTGCCCTGCTCGCAGTAAACCCTATAAGGGTTTAGGCTGGCGGGCTCTGGCACTCTGTCGTGGGGCCACCAGTCGGTCCAGACCATTTTGAAGAAAAGAAAAGAAATGAAATGAAGTAAAATAAAAAGAAAATAAAATAAATATAAAATAAAATAAAATAAAAAGAAAAGAAAAGAAAAGAAAAAGAGAAGAAAAGAAAAAAGAAGAGAAAAGGAAAGAAGGAAAGGGAAAGACGGGGGGATCTGCGGGTTCTGTTGTCTCTTTTTGAATTCTTTTTTTAATTTTTTTTATTTTCTCTTTTAATTCTTTTGTTTTCTTCTTTTGGACGCCGCAGCAGCAAAAGAGCAGCAGCAGCGGCGGCGCTGCTGCCGCTGCTGCTGCTGCTGCAGCGCATGCAGTGGCTGCCGCAGCGGGTGCTGCAGCGGCTGCTGGGGCTGCTGCTGGGGCTTTGCAGCCTTTTTAAACTTTTAATTAGCAACTAAGCAGCAAAAAGTAACTAATTTAAACTTTTAAAAAGAAATAAAATTCAAACTTTTGAAAATAAGTAAAATTCAACTTCCGCTCTTCGCTGCTCCGCAGCCAACGCGAGGTGTCTGTACACCCAAGAGCCCCTGCGAGCCTCTCCGCAATTCTCTCTTCCCCTTTTTTTCATTTCTTTCTTTTTTCTTTCTTCCGTTTTCCATTTTAATCCACTTTAACTCCAGATTACCGAAAAGACAACTGGTTTTTGGGGGTGTGCTGCTGCTGCTGCTGCTGCTGTTGCTGCTGCTGCTGCTGCAGTCGCCGAGAGAAGCAGCAGCGGCAGCTAAGAAGTTAAATCAAAATTGAAATTTCGAAAAATTCAAATTAAAGAATTTCCAAATATTCTTCAATTGAGCAAAACCCACTGACACCGCTTCCAGGGCTGCAGCAGCAGCCACTGCAGCAGCAGCAGCAGCTGCTGCTGC